TCCCTTCTCTTCCATTCTCCTCTTGAGATCTTGGACACGCACGCATCCGCGCCCGGCATGAGTTTAAGCTGCCAGGTCCAGGACTTGAACCGCGGTCAACTACATTGGAGTCCAGCGACATAGCCATTACGCTAACTGCTGGTCCCAAAATAATGAATATTTTTTGACCCAGCATTGAAAAATTTTGAAATTTGGATTTTCAATATGTGACACAGCATATAATTTTATGCTGTATCATGCCATACAGAATTAAAATACTTCGAAACCACTTTCTGAAAAGAAGAAGAAATATTTTTCTTGGGGCCAGGAGGTACTGTAGTGTTTAAAGGTGCTGGATTCCCACATGACTGACTGCAGTTCAAGTCCCAGACCTGGTGGCTGGCTTTCTCATTCTCCCTTTCTCTCTCTTTCTGTCTGTCTGGTCAAATTAAAAAATAATAACAAATGAAATTAAATAAATAAGTATTTATTAAAAAAGGAAATTAATATATTTCAATTCATAACATTACAACATAGATATTAAAAAAATGGAAAAAAACTTGGGGTCAGCAGGTGGCATGGTGGTTAAGGTGCCAGACGCCCACATGGCTGACTTTGCAATTTGAGTCCCAGACTTAGGGGCTTGAAAATCATGCTAAATATTTGTACATGCCCAAAGTCCCAATACAAAAATGGAGGATAAAGAGTTGTGATGTGGCTATTTCTTAACCTGGGTGAGGAGGAATGATTTTTTTATTTTCCTTCTTTCTGTTTCTCTGTCTTTCTCCAGTAAGCTCATGCACCCTATGGAAAAAAACTAGAAGGAAAAGAAAGAGATGAAAAAACTTTAGAGGGGGACTAGGAGAGATATAGGATATATTGAAAAGTAACAATATTGGTCACACAGGGAATCCAGAATGATTATTACACAGAAAATGAAGAAGTACAAACACTGATAGAAATAATGGCTATCCTCTTCCAGGCTATAATCAAAGTGTCGGCCAGGATGTTCTCTTACCTGGAGCTTAGCTGGGGAAGGATCTGCTTTGGTGTCACATAATTGTTAGCAACATTTAGTTCCTGGCAAATTGCCAGAATACGGGCCTTTTTTGGGGGGGCGGGGGGGTGGTTCCAGCTAGAGGCCACCTTCCACTCGGTCCCTTTTCTCTCTCTCTGACCCTCTGTCTTCTCAACCCTTCCTCATAAAAGAAAAACATTAACTATACAAAATAACTATGTATCATCCTAATGTCCAATTCAATAATGTAAAATTCTTGCACTACTATAAGAATATTTTTATATTAAATAGTACTTTTTCAGAATTGATGAAAGGTCATGACTCCTCAGATTCTGAAATAACTTATACCCAAGGAAGAAATTGTAGTAAACACACTGAGGTGAAATATAGAACGCCAAAGTCAAAGAGAGCAAGAGGAAGCATCTTCCCACAAAGGAGCAACAGCAGACTCTTCAATAATAATAATAATAATAGAAACCAGAAGACAGCAGAATACCTTCAAAGTGCTGAGAGAAAACTGTCAACCTAGAATTCTATATTCAGCAAGTCATTATGAGAGAATAAAATACACGTTTTCATACAAACTAAACCTAAGATATTTTTTACCACTAATAGACCCTAATGAAAAAACTACAACAGGATATTCTTCAAAAATTAAACACAAGGAGGGGCCAGCAGATGGCGTGGTGGTTAAGATGCTGGACTCCCACATGGCTGACCGTGGTTTGAGTTCTAAACCTGGTAGCCTGCTTTGTCACTTTCTCTCTCTCTCTTTCTCTGGTGAGCACACATGCCCTACAGCAAATTAAAAAATAATAATAATAATGATAATTGGAACCAGCAGGTGGTATAAAGGTTACATCATTGGACTTCCACATAGTCAACTGTGGAAGTTGTCCCAGACACGGCGGCTTGAAACTCACACCAGGTGTGTGTGCATGAGCGTCCAAAATCCTGAGAAGAGAACCAAAGAGGGACCAGCAGTTAGCATAATGGCTATGTCGCTGGACTCCCACGTAGTCGACCGCGGTTTGCGTCCCGGACCCGGCAGCTTAAAACTCATGCCGGGCACGTGTGCGTGCGTGCCCAAGATCCCAAGAGGAGAATGGAAGAGAAGGGATTGTGGCATGGCCATCCCCTCTGGGGGGTGATTTCTTGCTTTCTGTCTCTCTGTCTCTCTCTGTCTGTCTGGTAAGCGCACACGCCCTATAGCAAAAACCTCTCCAAAAAAAAAAAAAGAGAACCAAGGAGAAGGGATTGCAGCATGGCCATCTCTCCTGGGAGGGCAATTTCTCGCTTTCTGTCTCTCTGGTAGTTGCACTCGCCATACAGCAAAAGTCTCTCTTAAATAATAATAATAATAATAATAATTCTTTAAAAAAATTAAAACCAAGAAAACAGTAATGATGCAAAAAAAATGGTAAGTAAGGAATGTGTTTGAGAATAATCTGACGCAAGCTCTGACAGCATAAAAAAATGACTACTGAAGGATATAAAACAAAATTAACAAAAATACTGTACAAAGGTTACATGTAAAATCATCAAGGTATGGTAGAATTAAAGTGTTCTAAGACTCTTCAATCATTTGAGAGGAGGACAAAGATAATGATTAATTTTAGACTTTTTAAATTTCAGTACACATACCAAAACTGTGAGGGGAAAAATCAGTAGAGGAAAATAAAAAGCAAAACGTTTTAGAACAAGAAACTAAGACCCCCTGAAACTAACTGACTTGACAAAGTTTACCCAGCTATTTGATTAGCAGAATGTGATTTGAATGTATGCCTTTCAACTCCAAGTTCTGTGATTTTTTTTCCCTCTTCTATGTCATATAGCCTCTGATTTAGGTTACACATCAAATAACAAGTCCAGTTGCAGTGGTACATAGGTTAGCGTAGTTCCTCTGGAAGCAAGAAGCCAGAGGATGGCACAAGTTCAGTTCCAAGGCCAACCCAACGCACAGGGCATAGTCACACATGTTTGCAATTCCAGCTAACTGGGAGACTGAGGCAGGAGGATTGTGACAGCAAGATCCTGTCAAAATACCTGTCTCTGACTCTCTCCTTTTCCCTCCCTCTGATCCTCTTTCTCTAACTTTCCTCTCACAAATGAAAAAGCAATTCTTGTTCTCAAAGCATATCACTTGGTAGATATGTGACAACAACATAAAATCAAGCTAATAGCAATTTTTACATAGTGCCAGCTGATTATATTCTGCCACTGTCGTTATCAATCCAAAGATCTGTCTTGTAAATGTACCCTTGAAGAACGTCATACATTTCTATTATAAAGAAATGAATGGTATTTCATAACATGAAAAAATCTATAGGGCTATGATATTATAAGCAATACTTGCATCTGGAGGTGCAGAAACCTCAGATAATTAAATATTAAACTTAGACAATCGTTCCTCTAACCAAAAAATTAAATCAAGTAAAGTAACTAGAGATACAAAAAGCAAATCAATTTTTTTAAAAAATCAGATAGATTTGCTCCTTTTATTTCTTGCTATTTGTTCCTAAAAGCAAGGTCTCCACTGCTCCCTAGCCTTCACCCTGCTTTGACTCCCCAAAAGAGAACCTAGAGAAGGATAAAAAGGTCATAGACCTCGATAATCCCAAAACAGAGTAAAAAAATCGCTGAATAACAAAACTGTGTCCTGTTTGACACCCATTCATGGCTAATTGAATTATACCATACGAGTATATGTAAGTATGGTGATTATTAACGAAGATGACAAAAAACTCACTTAACTGAGCAGCTGAAGATTTTTGGAGGAGTACTCTTTGTAGTAGTGAAAACACAATAAAAATAATGGATGGTACTTTAGCAGACAGGGGCAATAGGTCAGGAGGAGGAGGATAAATAGAGAATTAAACAGGTAAAGGATTAACAAGAAGAACAGCCAACTGTGTGGTCTCAGAAATGGTACTGGTAAATTAGAGATATAATTTCATGATTTCATGAAGACAGATCTGGGTCACTGGGGAACTGAAGTCCTTTTTCTCACAGAAAAAAGTACAAAGGTCTGTCAGCTGATTTACAAAGGCTGGTGATTAACGCAGGGGTGGGGGTGGTGGAAATAACAACAAACATCCAGCATATGCCGTGATGGCCTGAGGAAGATTATAAGACGATAAATAAATGGCAAAACTAGTTTTCTCAGCATTGGACATAGGAAGGTCCTCTGGAACGAGATTATTCCGGATTAGAAGAATCACTTAAGTGACCAGCAGATAGGGAAGGAGTTAGCCATTTTCTACTCTTGGAGACCTCTCCATAAAAGATCAGAAGAGCCTAAGAATAAAAACCTGAAAAAGATAAATTAGCTTGAGTTATAACTGTTGCTTTTCCCCTCCTCCCTCAAAATATTTAGAGGCCACTCTGTCTCTGGTTGCAGAGAATCCTACGTTTCTCCTGTTTTTTTGGTTTTTTTTCTCCTTCCTCCTCTATTTTGCTTCTTTTCTCCAATCATGTGAGTATCTGTCTTGAATGGTGACTGTCCAGGTGACTGCATACACATGCACTCCTTGTGGAGTCAGCCAGCCTCCTTCCCTGTCCTTTAAGTAGGTTGGCAGTCTCATTCATACAAGAGCTGATGTCTGCAGAAGCTCAGAGAACCATGGTCAGAGCCTCTGCTCCCAGTTGCTTCAGTGATTCACTGCAAGGCCACTCTAGGACTCTCTTTTAAATCACTCACAACCAAGCCAAAAAGGTATAAATTAGAAAGGAGAGAGAAAGAGAAAGAAGATCTTCATTGGAAGAACAAGTAGTTGGCCCACAGAGAAAATAAAATGAACTAAATAAAATCGATGAAACTGAAAATCCACAAATCAGATGATAAAACCATATTCTGCTCACAAGTAAATAAAATAATCCATGGCAACAACTTAACTGCTGCCTGTTGGCTTGCAATTCCAGATTTCTCTTATTTGGGCTGGACACCATTTTCATTTCTGTGTACTTAGAGGTCCACACTGAACCAACATTATTTACTACTCACTTGTGCTTGCTTGCATACTTTAAAAGGCTGAAGTGCTTCTTGGTAGAAAAGCTGATGATAAGCCTGTAGGTCAAACCAAAAGTACACACTGTTCCTCCACAACTGCAGATGGGAAAAGTGCGTGAGTTACTACCAGCCAATTATCAAAGCTCTGCAAAGCTCTAATTTTGAATATAAACAGTTGTTTAGCTCCTTGCTCTTACCATAAATCAGATTCAATTTAAGATGGTTTTAATCTTCTATCACAAACCGGAAATAGACAACGTATTTCTTGATATTGGCACTAGAATACTATATAATACCATATACTATATTATTATATAATGCTATAATAAATACTATATATATGTGTGTGTCTGTGTGTGTGTATATATATATATATGTATATATATATATAGTAACATAATTCATCATTAAAATAGTAAGCATTCTAGTTAACAGTTAAAAAGTAAACACATAATTTTGACATGAAAACAAAATCTGAAGGTATTTTCAAATATATAGGCAAATGTTACACCACAGCAGAAGCAAACCTTACTTTAATAATTGAGCCACAAAGATATTTTTCATTGTGCAAAAGACTGATTTTTTAAAAATGGAAATAATTTTGCCACTATTCATTTAAATTTGTAATTTTAGAATTATTATTATATATGAAAGAATTGATAGATGTCAACTCTGAATTTAAATTATATTACATTAAAATAATATTATATGAAAATAAACTACCATTAGCAATGCAAGTCAATTCTTACCTGAATTTCACTTTCCTTTGTAATTTTAGTGGAATGGTGAGCCAAAGATAATTATAATTGAGACATTTAATAATTTGTTCAGTGGGCAGTAATGATTTTTACTAAATATAAAGTATGAATTTTCTTACCAAAGATGGTAGTTTTAAGATCAAATATAATTATTTGAGCACTGAATTTTTTAACACCTCTTATTTATAAATGAAGTAAAATTATAAAATTAAATTTTAAGTAATTCTTTTCTACCTTGTTCCCTGAATGCTCACAGAATTTAGTGAAGAAGAATCCAGCTCTATTTTCTACATACAAAGATTGCAACAAATTTTCCATTGCAAATCCTCCCAAGGCACCAACATCTGACATGGTTTTAACCTAGATAACAAAACAGAAGTCTGTCATGTACCCTAAAACACTGTCATTTGTATTTATGGCATTGTACAACAGAGTTTTCATAAATTCTACCAAGCTATCATTTTCCCACTGGACTGTTTTATCTTATTTTTATGTTATATATGTAATTAATGCAGTATGTTTGCATCTGAATGACATATATAAAATTAATTTGTAGAGCCCAACTGCAGCACCAGAATTCTTTACAAACAATCTGACTTCAAACTAAATGCCGAAGCCACTTCCCAACCTCAATTATGTTCATGTTTCAGGCACAGCAATACCATTTTGAGAGTCTTCCAAATCTCTGTTGGTGGCCTCTTTCTTACATATTTACTGTTATTTTAGCCTTGAGGTGCTGCTGTTACAGCTACAAGAAGGTTATAAAAAGCACTATCTTCAAGGCCTCTCAGTGCTGCTCATTAGCTATCCTTAGGGGGTCCCTCTTTGGACAGTCTCACCCATACAGGTCATGGCCGCAGAGTGTAAACGGCAGTGTAAGTTCTCATAAAACTTTGCTGTTTATAGGCTTCTCTGCCAACAATGCTGGCAACCTAACACAATTCTGAAAATACAGAAAGCTGGCTATTTCTCCAAGTATGCGAGTGACTCCAGAACACTATTGACTACTCACAAAATCTCTTCACTATTTGTTTTGTGGAACTCAGGCTTCATTGTCATCTTAACAAAAGTGTAGTGTGTAGGGTTTCGGCTAAGTGCTCACTCTCTGTCATACTATCGTCTCTCCCTCTTTTTCTGCCTACTATGCAAATTCTGAGATTGAATTGAACGCTTTTTATAATGTTTATCAGCATTCCAATTTTTAAAAAAATAACTATTTTAGTTGGAAAAAAATCCCAGTCAAAAGAAAAGGAGAACTAGTTTCCCCAAATTAAAAAAAAAAAAGAAAAGTTATACAAAATACTAGCTATACTAGCTATGAGTTCAGACTGGCTTGGGACCACTTAGGCTTCTTCCTAAAGTATTACTATAATCCTTAGAGAATGTAACTGTTTCATCTAGAAGCAGCATACTAAATCCATATTACAAGGGCAACTGCAATCTGGAAATACCCTGTCTTCTAAAGATTCTAAATTTCTGGGGCTAGCAGGTGGCATAGTGGTTAAGGCGCTAGACTCCCAAATGGTCAACCACCATTCAAGTTCCTGACCTGGTAGCTTGAAACTCATGCCAGGCACAACTGTGTGTGTGTGCCCAAAATCCTGACAGGAGAATGGAGAAGGGATTGTGTGGTGTGGCCATCCTCCCTGGGGCATGATTTCTTACTTTCCGTCTCTCTGTCCATGTCTCTCTGGTAAGTACACATGCCCTATAGCAAAAATATCTCAAAAAAAAATTTCTAAACTTCCAAAATAAAACAAAAAATGGTATTTTTTTTTTTTAATCAACTGTTAAAATTTAGGAATCAGAGATTAGCCATTGCCATAATGGCTATGTCGCTGGACTCCCATGTAGCCGACCATGGTCCGAGTCCCAGACCCAGTAGCTTAAACTCACGCTGGGCGCGTGTGCGTGTATGCCCAAGATGCCGAGGGGAGAATGGAGGAGAAGGGATTGCAGCGTGGCCATACCCACTGGGGGTGATTTCTCACTTTCTGTCTCTCTGTTTTTCTGTTGAGTGCATATGCCCTATAAAAAAAAAAAAAAAGAATCAGACAATGGCACAGCATCAATATGACTAGGTCCACATGGGAAGGTCCCAGGTTTGTGTCCCAGCCTCCCTGTACATGCAGGGGTATCTATATCTGTGCCCATGATTCAGGCTCACTGAGGTGAGGGGTGGATCCTGATTGGAGGTGACTCTCTCACTTTGTCTCTCTCACAGAACAAATAAATAAGTAAAAATTTTAAAATAAATCATAAAAATTCTAAAAGTCCTATATTTTGGTCTTATTTTATGTCTGAGTTGTCGTCATACCAAAATCAGAATACAGCTTTTAAAAAACAAAAAAACAAAACAAAACAAAAAAACAGAAATCAGTAAGTTGAGTATCCCTTATCCGAAATACTTGGAACCGGAAAGTGTTTTAGATTTTGGATTATGTGTATACACAGGAAATATCCTGGGAATGGGACCCAAGCCTAAACAAAACTCATTTATGTTTTCTACACAACTTATACACATAGCATAGAGGTAATTTTATACGATATTTTTGCACTGCAGCGTTTTGATGGCAAATCATTATGAGATCAGGTGTTTAATTTTGCACTTGTGGCATCATGTCAGCACTCAAAAATTTTTGAAAGTTGGAGCATACTGGATTATGAATATTTGGATTAGGGATGCTCAGCTTGCATTCAGCAGCATAGTATTTCCAAAGGAAACACACGGTAAATTTTTTGTGTAAAAATCCTTTTGCAAGAAAAAAAATAAAATGTGTTACTTAGTAGGAAAAAATATTATGGTGCCTCATAAAAATTCTTCAAAATCAGGGGACTTTGATCCAATAAACAAGTAATCAGATTATTCAATCCTCAAAATACTTACCTTAGATTCTTCTGTATAAGTAAATCTTCTATCCAGATCCGGCTTCAGACATTCAGAGATGTCAGTAAAAGATGTTAAACGAATAACTTTGTTGCTTTCTGACTCCTGTTTTGACCTAAATTACAGGAATGAAAACTAATGATTAACAAACAAATTTTGAGCACTTGTAGTAAACATGGCACCAAATTTTAGGTGTGCTTCTGAGCAATGTAAGACAATTGGGGGAGAAAGAGTTCTAGTCTTGAATGTATGGTTATAAAAATGAGGCACAGTTATATAGAAAGACAACTCTCAAAATAGCTGCTGCTTAAATTAATTTGAGAAAGTGTATAAAAAATGTCAAATGACCAGGATAGGTAATAAATACTATGGGAGTATAAGAATGAAAACTTCTTTTGAGCTATATCAGTAATTCTGTGTCTATATCTGGGTTTGTGTTTGTTTGCAGGGGTTCTTTAGATTGGAAGAATAGTGAACAACCAATGAAGGTAGGGTAGGGAAATCCTGCTTAAAAGGCAGTGAAGTGAGGAAACTCACACTTAAATACATCAGAGTAAAGCTGAAAATACACACTACAAAGATAATCCTGAAGCAGCTGGAAAAAAAGACATACTATCTTCAAAAGAACATTTGCCTGACAACTAATAACTTAACAGAAACACTGAAAGCTGAAAGACAACACAGTATCTTTAACCTAAAATTCTATACATAGTGCGTGCACACACACACACAAAACTAAAGTATGAAAGTGAACACAGCATAATAAACCTTCACAGCATTAGGGCAAAAAGGAAGCCAGACACAGAAGGCCACGTACTCTATGATTCCATTTATATGAAATACGTAGAGTAGGTAAATCCACACGTACAAGAGTGGATGCTGGGGCTGGGAGAGAGGAACATGAAGTGATTGCTAGTAAGTACAGGACTTCCTTTTTGGGTATGAGGAAATGTTCGGGAATTACATAGCAATGAGGGCTTTATAACTTTGAGGATATACTAAAGAAAATCACTGATTTAAATATGAATGTGATTTAAAATGGTGAATTTGATATTTTATAAAGTTATATTAATTAAAAGAGAAAGTGAAATAAATTATTAAACAAAGAATTATTCGAAGTTAATACCAAAGGCTAAAGGAAAATAATCCCACTGGAAATAAAGAACAGTAATAAGATTATCCTGGATACATGGGGGAACCTAAGTGAATAAAATATACTACATTAAACAATGACAATATTCCTGATGGATTCATGAGTTCTCAAATTTAAGAAATATTTAATTAATAGGGCCAAATAAGAATTAAAGGGCAGTCTTCTCAGAGAAGACGACTGATTGTACAGCTCATAAAAGACCAGAGGCACCATCTCTTTAAAATTATCAATATCTAGAAATCTACTCCTAATTGAGACTATGCAGGGAAAGTATAAGTCTCTAATACATTTCACTGAGATATTACATAAAAAAATCCATGTTTAAAAAATGTAGTTTCAATTTATATTTAATTTTTTAAATTCTTCAAAAAATCTTACCATTGCAGGAGAGCACTGGACACACAAAAAGTGGCACCTACCCTTTCTCAAACACCTCATCCTTAGGAGAAATGGGAAGCAAAGACTCGCTCCTCCAAGATTTCTGAGTTGCTGTTTTCACTCTAACGGATTTCTTGGGAGATTTAGGAGGCTGTTGCAAACTGAAATCCTCCTTCTAAAAAGTGGCAAGATAATGCATGAAAAGAAAAATGAACAAAATGAAAAAAAAAAACAAAGGAAAGAGAATAATGTATAGCTTTACACATATACTCAAATTTATTTTGGTCACTAAATTTCTTCCCTTTTTCTATCTGCTATCACTCGGTTTCCCACCAGAACAGAATTTTTCTCCTTCTCCAATTCCCACTTTTGAACAATTTTCAGCAAAATAAAATCCAAAGTAACTTAGATTATGAGAAAGGAAGAGCCAAAGGCTTGAATATGCTTACTTCTACTACTGTGAAAAAAGATTCTTTACTGGAGGAAGACCTATGTAAAAACTTAAACCTTTGTTCTATAAGTGAACAGATTGTAAAGTGAGTGTGTGTGTGTGTGTGTGTGCGCGCATGTGTGTAAAAGAGGTCACAGGGCAGGGAAACAAAACAAAGATACCTTAGTGTCTAAAAATGGGTGTATATATTAGCATTATTCCTTTTTCTTTTGGAGAGGTTTTTGCTATAGGGCACATGTGCTCGCCAGAAAGAGAGAGAGAGAGCGAGACAGAAAGTAAGAAATCATCCCCCAGGGGGGATGGCCGCGCTGCAATCCCTTCTCCTCCATTCTCCTCTTGGGATATTGGGCACGTACACACACACCCGGCATGTGTTTAAGCCACCAGGTCTGGGACTTGAACCGCAGTCAACTACATGGGAGTCCAGCAACATAACCATTACACCAGTGGCTGGTCCCAGCATTATTTTCTTTTATTTTGGGACATTTTATTTTAATTGTCACATTTCCCATTCTTGAAAGTTCTTTTTTTTTTAGCTTTATTTATTTATTTCATTTGTTATTTTTTAATTCGACCAGAGAGAGACAGAGACAGAGAGAAAGGGAAAGCAAGAAAGCAATCCACCAGATCCAGGACTTGAACTGTGGTCAGCTATGTGAGAATCCAGCACCTTTAATCACCTCTCCACCTGCCTGCCCCATTTTTAAAAGTTCTTAATGTTAAAAGTCAGTGATTAAAATTCAGAATATGAGATGTTACATGCATTTATCAAAAGAGTATAAAGAAGTACATGTCCAAATGGAAGAGAAAGAAACGATCAACTGAGAATGGGATATACATAAATGTAATACTTTATAAAACCTAAAAACAGTGGTCATGGAAATGATGACACACATGGACAAATGCTGAAAAATAAGTAATCAGAATACAAAAGTACAAGTGCATTTAAAAAATTCACAAGGCCTAAGAAAAAATAAGTTAGTGGCTGTCGAAAAGTAGGTGACATCAGAAGAGACTTATCGCTCTAGTTTACAAATTTATAATAGTTTTATTATTTTTAGAATCTAAAAAATAAAGCATAAGAAGTTTTTCTAATATATCAGTTTCCACTGGAATATTACAGATGATGTTGGAGCACAAGGACTATATGATGCTTTATTATCTAGAACAAACAATAAATCTTACATATACTCTACGTACCTAATAATTACTAATCAGTTTTTAAGAATTCTATAAACAAAATTAATTACATAAGTATATTGTACTTAAAACTTCCTAAATACCAAGGCTAACATCTGTTTTTACCAGTTTATAACACAACATGACATTAAACAACACTCAATAAGCAAGTACTACCACAGGAGGCTAAGCTCGTTAGTAAAAGTGTATCAGGACAACCCATAGTGTAGAGGTTAAGAGTGGTACATAAGGAGCCAGATCCCATAAAGCTGACCACCACGGTTCGGTTTGAATATTGGTCATAGCCACTTGAAAAACCCACCAGGCATGTACGCACGTGTACCCAAATCCTGGGGGAAGAGGGAAGCGAGGAAGGGGTATTACAACATAACCATGTCTCACTGTACACAGAGTTCTCTCTCTCTTTCTCTGTCTCTGGTGAGCATGTGCACTCTGGCAATAAAAACAACCAAACAAATAAAAAATAAAACATGTCAAGGGGCCGGCAGGTGGCGTGGTGATTAAGGGCACTAGACTCCCACATGGCTGACCGTGGTTCAAATCCCGAACCTGGAAGCTTGCTTTCTGACTTTCTCTCTTTCTCTTTCTGTCCCTCTCTGGTCAAATAAAAATATACTGAATAATTCTATATATATTTTTTAAAAAGGTCATACAAAAGTAGTCAAATTTATTGAAAGAGAAAGTAGAAATGCTAAGGTTGGGGGTGGATCATGGTGTTGGAGCCCAGTGGGGGCTCTCTCTCTTTTTCCCCTCTCTCCTCACTTATGAAAAATATTAAAGAAAAAACTTAAAAAAAAAAAAAAGAAAGTAGAAAGGGTCTTAGGGGATAGAGAAAGAGGGAGCTGCTATTTAATGGGTATAGAGTTAGATTTGCAAGATAAAAAAAGGTCTGGAGATCTATTCCCAAAATCGTAAGTATACTTAAACACTACTGAATTATACATTTAAAAATGGCTAAGATGGTAAATTCTGAAAAATTTGTTTATTTCTTCCAAGAAAGAGGAAGTCACATTGAGAGATAAAGACAGAGAGAGAGCCTGGCATCATAAATGGGTCCTCATGCCATAATCCACTCCTAGCCTCACTCACCCTGGATTCCAGGCATATGTGCAAACATCTAGTATAAACAGGAGGCCCCTGGACATGAACCTGGCCCTTCTCATGTGGGTCCAGCTGCATTACTGCTATGCCACCATCTGCCTCAAAATAGTAAATTTTATGTTACGTGTTTTTTACTATAGCAATAATAAAAGTTTTTTTAAAAGAAGTTGAGGAAATTGGCCTCATGGCCTAGTAGTTAAGAGAGCCAGATTTCTTATGTCCAACCACAGTATGAATTCCATTCTGGCAGCTTGTAAAACATGCCGGGCACATGTGCGTGGATCCTTAAAACACCAACGCGATGGAGAAATGAAGGAGAAGGAATTGTGGCATGACCACACTTCATTGGGGAGTGCTCTCTCCCACATGAACCTGGCCCTTCTCATGTGGGTCCAGCTGCATTACTGCTATGCCACCATCTGCCTCAAAATAGTAAATTTTATGTTACGTGTTTTTTACTATAGCAATAATAAAAGTTTTTTTAAAAGAAGTTGAGGAAATTGGCCTCATGGCCTAGTAGTTAAGAGAGCCAGATTTCTTATGTCCAACCACAGTATGAATTCCATTCTGGCAGCTTGTAAAACATGCCGGGCACATGTGCGTGGATCCTTAAAACACCAACGCGATGGAGAAATGAAGGAGAAGGAATTGTGGCATGACCACACTTCATTGGGGAGTGCTCTCTCCCTGGCTCTCTCTCTCTGTCTCTCGGGGGCAAGTGCACATATCCTCTGGCAATTTATAAAAATTAAAAAAAAAAAAAAAAAAAAAACAAATTACTGGAAGTGGTTTGTACAGGGAAAGTCCTAAGAGTTTTCAAACTTGTTGGCTTGGGTGAAAGCTGGAAGAGTGGCTAGTAAGTAACCAGTTGGGCACTGGAGGAGGGGGCAATGACCAGAGGGCACAGTAGAACTGGAAAGGTGTAAAGGAACTGCTCCATCTTATGAGCATGATGATGGTTACACAACGAATATGTTTGTCAAAATTAGCAGAATTGTACATTAAAAATGATGAATTTTCCTGAATATGAATTATTCCTCAGGCCGTCTTATAGCGCAGTGGTTAAGTGCTGTGTACTGGGAGCTGGATTCCAAGTGGCCAGTTGTGGTTTCGATTCTGGCCCCTGAAGCTTGAAAAACATACTAGGTGTGTGCGCATACTTAAAACCCTAACAGGACGGAGAAATAGAGGAAAAAGGATTGTGGCATGACCATGGCTCATTGGGAAGTACTTTTTTTTTCCCTTTCTTTCCTTCTCTCTCTCTCTGGTGAGTGCATGTACTCTAGCAGTTAAAGAAAGAAATGAAAAAATAATACCTTTATTTATTAAATGGGGAAAATAAAATGGGACTGAGTTCCTGGGAGTGTTTTCTGCCAAGGAGAGAGAGCGATCAAATGAGTTGTCCAGATAAGAAAACATCAATGAAGACATATGGTAATGACTCTCAGGAAGTAACAGGTGAGAATTTATGTTCAGAGCACATTTTTCACAAAGCTAATCTCTCCCCACTCCTTTGTCATTCTCCTATTCGAGATCTTTTCATTAACCATATCTCCCCCTTTACCTCTCGGTTAGATAATGCTGTTCGTACAAACAAAATAGCATGCTATCAAGATAACATGCTCCCTAAACTACACCGCCACGATGAGGTCACCTTAGCAACCACAGAGGCTAACCAGGAGGATTTAACTGAGTGCCATACAAAAAGGTCACAAGATGCAAAAGGAGGGCAGGATGATGTCAAAATCATGTATAAGAAAACAGTGCACTGAAGTAATTCCAGCTCACAATGTAGTCCAAGAACATCAGCTTGGGAGAACTTGGTAACAGATTCAAAGTTAGATAATAAAAATGAATTGTAGAGTACTAAAGGGGAGCAGATAAGTACATTTAATAACAACTTATTAGCTGGTAGAAAGGTTCCCCAGTGTTCACAACGCAAGGTAATGATGAACAGTAGAGATGATCATTGTCATGATTTGATTATTACACACTATATATGTATTGAAAAATCACACTGTACCCCATAAATATGTATAACTATTTTATGTCAATTAAAAATTACAAAAGAGCTGGCCCTGTGGGCTTGAGGTTAAGAAAGTTGGACCCGGGGCCAGCAGATGGCACAATGGTTATGTCACTGGACTCCGACATAGTCGACTGCAGTTCAAGTCCTGGACCCAGCAGCTTAAAACTGATGCTGGGTGCGTGTGCATACATGCACAAAATCCTGAGAGGAGAATGGAGAAGGGATTGTGGCATGGCCATCTTCCCTGGGGGGGGTGATGTCTCACTTTCTGTCCCTTTGTCTCTCTCTGTCTCTCTAATGAGCACATGTGCCCTGTAACAAAAGTCTCTCAAAAAAAAAAAAA